TGTTCTTCGTGCGGTATAATGGGAGTGTTCTGCGTGCGAAAGAGGATGTGCTTTTGAGTGTTCGAGATGTTTGAGGACATGATTTGGTTTTTTTTTTGTTTTAATTCACACCCCGTCCTTTTTATGCACATGCGTCGGTAAGGCGAGTGTTAAAGCTAGTGTAACAATCCATTGAGAATAGAAAATACGCCGAGCAAGAGCCTTTTTTTAGTATAACCAGGATATTTTGATACAAGAGCACAAATTTTAAGTTTGTTGATTCCGTGTGGCTGTTCCGTTTGGGAAGTAAATGATTGGGTATCAAAAAATTTGGGGCTGTCTTTGTATTGTAATGATTGGGTATCAAAAAATTTTGGGCTGGCGTACAAAGGCCCGGTTCCAGAATTTTTGATATTTTTATTTGATTGCCGATAGCTGAACAAAGAATTCGTCTTTCTATTGTTCCCGACTAGTATTGTTCATATCAAAAAATTTGGGGCTGGCGTACAAAAGCCCGGTTCCCAGAATTTTTGCGTTATGCAAGCTTTGATTGCCGATAGCTGAACAAAGAATTCGTCTTTCTATTGTTCCCGACTTAAATGATTGGGTTATCAAAAAAATTGGGGCTGGCGTACAATAATGTACGCTCACCGAGTACTGAGAAAAATTATAGCGCGGCTGATCTAGAAGGATTACTAAACCAAGAATTCGTCTTTGTATTATTGTATTGAGAGCACATAACGTTACATTTGATTCAGTCTTTCATCAATATACTGTAAGAAGAATATTTGATTTGTAAATTCAATTTGCCCCTACCCTGTAATAATGAACATGTAAATATAAAGGCATTCAATCGTTTTCTAATTGGTTATAATTAAGTTTATGATTGCTTTGCTAATTAGAAAATATTAGCACAAGAATGGGCTATCTTTTAGCTACAAAGTTTTACGAGTAATTAACAAATTAACTTAGATTTTAATAATAAACTAGTAATGTTAGAAACATGCTTCGCGGAGACTAATGCTAATTGAGTATATATTCTTGCAGAAGCCGATTCATAAAATTGATTGTATTCATATCCTTGTTCGTAAATCTCCAAAGGAAAATCTGTAATAGAGAAGGTATTACTGTATATTTAAATATTATGGTCGTAGGCGGTTGACTTGGCACTACGCACATATTATAAGTGGTATTAGAATACCGTATGTGTGTGAAGAACGGATAATTCTCGGATATAATATTGCAATATGTAACAGTGAAAGCCGTTTCACCCGCAACAGAAAGTTTGTACAATAAAATTCCACAGTGCTAGTTAATAACATCAAAAATGGCGGTGTCATATAATTGTATTATTTATTGAAACTTTGCTTCTTCGCTATGGCGTAAGTGTCGTTCAATGATAGTCACTCAATTCATCCCAGATGTTGCTGGTGGTAGTGCGCTTTTTACTTACAGAGAAACGGCAACGTCATATGATGTTTCTGCTATATGATAGCGGTAATGAATGTGAGGAATTCATCTTTGATATCAGGATTGCTGCGGTTAGGTTTGAATTGACCACATACAGTTATACATTGTTGTTAGGTATCTTGAGACGGGGGCTGGGTATAATGTATTACAAGCATAGAGATTGCACTTTTTATATTAATTAATATAAAAAAGTTTAATATATTTGAACACTTACTGTATATTATTATGCTGTCCTAATTTTAGCTCAATTGATATATTATTTCGGTCATTGCAGATTGTGTGTGAGAATATTTTAGTTTGTGTGCGTGTACTTATGTTACACATATTAACATGTGCATGCTAATACTAATGACCCGTTTTCGGATTTGACCCATTGTTGACCCATTTCGGGGGTCGATTTTTTGCAAAATGTGATAATCTACAGAAAATTTTTTATCAGTCATGCAAACGAAAAGATGTCTTTATTATTTATAGTATATAATTAAACAGAAGTTTCTACTTGTAAATTACAAATGATTAACAAAATACTTATTTGTAGGGCGACAGTTTGGGTTATAAACATTATATATAAAAAAATTATTTCTGGAATACTGTATAGTTCGCCTGAGCTACAGCCCAGTTTATACCACCCTCCATCCAAAACGTCCACCACCTTGCATGGGAGAAACCTTTGCCGATCAGGGGCCAATATTTGACGTCCCCCGTTGGTAATTCTGTGGTATCCCCTCGACCTCTTCTAATCATGCTTGTTCGGGTATTTGTTATATTATTGATATTATTACACATTATGAAGTGATATAATAGAGTATGTCAACAATATGACAATGTATCATTACGACTTATTTGATCTTTACATAATGTAATGGCTTTGGGATTAATGGCCCGAGTTAATCAAACGCGTAGTTATCATTATAGGTCAAAACCACATGTTACTGAAATATCAAACATGCTTTTCGATAAGTAAAAAAAAAGCTTGTTATACATATTTGGTATAGTCTACAAAATATCTGTTAGTGTGTGTTACAGTGATAAAAAATTTTCACATCAACAATGGAAATGTGTGCATATAGAAGAAATGTTGCAGTGAGATCTGAGAATTGGGTTATTTATTTTGTGGACGTGTAGTAGTAATGATTGTTGTAGAAAAGGAAAAATATTAAATGATGGAATGGATGACGAGAGTATATTGTGAGACATCTTGCAACAATCGAAATATCCGACAAGATACTGGAACTGCTATCGTTCCTTGAATTGAGTTTATAAGATGCGAAATCTATTGCACATTGCGTCACCAGGAGATAAAAACTATTTAATACACTCAGAGTGATGACGAAATTAGAGAATTGGTCGAATGTTAAGAAGCTATTTAGAGCTAAAACGAGTAAATTATTTTTGGCCTATCCGAATTTAGTCTAGACACATGAAAAATTGACGGAAATCTGGCTTTTTGAAACTCGTTAAATATTCCGAGTTTAGGAATTGCGAATTTTTTGTTAATATTAAACATCAATGGTTTAGCGGCCTATCCATTTAGCCAGAACTATAAGATTTGTTGTACGTCAGATATAACAAAAATAAAGACACTTGTGCCAAATAAAACCTACGCATCAACTTCTACTTAGTGTGTCACAATAAAAATAGAAGCTCTTTGAACGCGTATATTTTATGAAATATAAATTATTTTACTTTGCGTTTTTTTTTATATTTGATGTAAACACTTGCGGTTGTTTTTAAACTGTCAAACAAGTTCAAATCTTTGTTTTGTTCAACCCTAGCTTTTTGCTGTTAGATTCGGTTACAAAATATCTCGATCAAATTTGAATACACATTGCAAGACCATTTAGCGGCCTGTTTTAAGTTTGCCATATTTTTGTCATGTATTTTCTGCCTGTCAATAGTCCAGTCTTAAATCCTATAGAAAATCAATGGCAATTGGCCAAAACGATATAGGAAAAGTATGCCCAAATCTTGTGGGCACTTAGAACGGTTTGTTATAGTCGAAGAATAAATTCTATTTCTGATAAAATATTAATCAATTTAGTGGGTTCGGTAAAACAAAAAGGTAAGCTAATTATGGGAAATAACCCCCCTATTAAATGTATGGCAATAAAACCTCTGCTCATAAGCTATTAAATAAAGTATAAAGCTCATTCATTACTCTAACCGTTGTAGCACAACAATCAATAGTTTTTTTGCATCTTTTATATAATTCCTATGTCAATGTTATTTACTGTGTCGTGTGAATAATTTAATTACTAGTGAAAAGGTACGAGTACGTTTATCTGAATAAGTTTAAACGTATAGAATGATGAAATCAGTTTATCATCTGGTGTTTTGATCACAGCACATATAAATATTGCGTAACAACCTATGGAATAATAGAAAATTTTGGTTGTGCAGAGACAATGAAAATTAGTTAACCATTACATGTAAATTTCCATGTCTTAGTTAACTTTTAATTGTCCCAGAGAGTCTGAAACGGTCATGTTACTTTTATTGGCGCAGCTATAAACGTGCAAGTTGAACATCTGAATTTTTTGCTACCAGAAAATATTGCACCGTGAAGTGGTTATTTTATTGACACGTTAGCTTATCGAAACTCTTCTTGACAATACCTCCTCAACCATCGTACGAAACAAATTCTTCGAGGAGACGCATTTTAAAATCAACAACGCGTGGGGTGAATTACGCCTATGCAAAATTGGCTAGTTTCTGTTTCGGGGATAGGAGTTTCTGTTGTTAAACCGAATTATGGTTATTAACCAACAGAGATTCCTGTGTAGGCTTCCAACGCCTGTTTGGTGCAAGACGCCATCCTTCCTCTTCTTTTTTGATGGCGTCCAAATTCCACCTGTACATGATCCACGCGTTACTGCAACGTGGGGTCCGCATGTTTTGCTTAGAGATGGAAAGGAAGATCTGTTTTTGAGAGTTTGAATAAAGCAACTCGGAATGGAAGAGTTTACGGGTTGAATTCTCATTGGGGTAATAGACGGCACGTGAGTTGAGAAAAATGTACATTCCGGAAAAGTAACTTCAAATTTTGAACTATAGAAGAATTGCTGATAAAGACGAAGGATATATACGACTGTTAACGTCTCGTCATTTCATAAACAATCTGGAATCAAACATTGTTACAAAGCAATCGTAACCGTTTTGACCATTTCCGCGTAAATAATGTATAATACATTTTACTTTTTTGATAATCTGTGTAACGGTAATAGTAAATGAGAATTCTAAGAACACACTAATGTTACGACCCGTTCTAGGATTTGACCCGCGGGTCAAAAATTGTTGACCCATTTCGGGATCCCTGAAACGTATTCGGTTTTTTTGCAAATTTGAGATAATCTACGAAAAATTTTTAATCACTGTAACACACACTAACAGATATTTTGTAGACTATCCCAAATATGTATAACAAGCTTTTTTTTTTTTACTTAACGTTATTTTCACAACTTGTTCTATGTGGTTTATTCAACTAGCATTTGGCTTGGATCTATACCCCCCACCGACCCAGCGCTGATGTCGCGTGAACATCACACGATAATTCAGATTGCAACTGATACTGCTTCGGCACGCTGATGTGGATTTGAAAGTGGTGATGCTTTGTAAAATTTGTCGGTTGGCGTGATATTATTACGAGAAGCCTGTCATGTTAACGCTTTTCATGCAATAAATAGCAGATGTTATTTAACCGAGAAGAGCATCTCGGAGGGAAGGTTATAATAATAACGGTGCTTGAAAGGGTCTGATAACTACAATGACGACGATACAAAAAGGATTGGCAACAAAACTTGTTAATTCAAATATAATATTTACTTTATGACACTCCCTGTGATCGTGCGGTGATATATCGCTGCTACCACCCATTACGACCACATCTTCAGAAATGCTGCTATTATTTAATTCCTGGATTACCGCCTTGAACAACGATTTTTTGGTTTCACGTTCAGAGTCACTATTACGAAGCCAGTCTGTCAACCGTCGATGTATACCGAGCAAAAACGTCATAATCGATCTCTAATTTCTCGCCGGATGAATATCGTAGAGAGGTTAGAAAATGTTGCCGAGGAGCTAATAAACGAATTACAATGTCCCAACGGGAGAAGGCTAATTCAAAGGACGTTGAATATGCGCATTGCAGCCTTTTGGTCGTTGTTGCATATAAGTATGTGATGGGTTAGAAATAATTTGAAGAACGGTTTCTGGATGCTTCACGCTTATTACGAATCAGTCCGTCAATTTCGCAACCGCAGGAACATTGCGATCAGAAGATGTGTCTCTTTCTTCGCCATCATCCACGAAGCAACGTAATAATTTCTGACGCTTTGACACGCAAACGGCATTGTATAATACTCGGATTGGATTGACTGTCCGAAGGCTGCAAGTTTGATAACAAAATCAACACAGGACTGAAGATAATTCAACTGGGATTTAGGAAGTCAAGAAAGATTAGTTTTATTATTTCAAATGGGAACTTTGAGTTATGACGAACAGACGGATTGGCAAGACCTAAAAAAGTGTACAGGAAGGACATTGATCGAAAATAGACATTTGCTAATGTTTACTAGCTTCGCTGGGGATATGGCAGGATTACAATGATTAGAAATTATCTCGCAAAAGTGAGAAAGGAGATACGAGAGCCATTACAACCTCGGCGTGTTTTACAGAAAACGGAGATATCATTGAACTAGACATTTTGCAAGCATTCAAGAAATCGGCCTTGTATAATGGTTATTATAGGTGTAATTATGACACAATACTTATTTTATTGACATTGTGAAATGGAATCTAGAGGTAAGGACTGATGGAGAAAGTGAATTGAAAATATCGATACTCTCGTTAAAAATTTTATTAACCATGATATTTGATTAGATTTACCTGGCCGTTACTCATACATACACCAATCTCGATTCTCAATTCAGGGGTTCGGTGGCGTCAAACACGATGGTGGCGTCAAACACGATGGTGGCATCGACGGAATCGGTTAGTATAATATGTTTATTTAATAATATTATTACGAAGACTAAAAAATTAGACATATTATCGACGTATTTTCCTATTTGCTTTAATGATACTTCAACATTAACATACTGTAAATCGACACAAAATTTAATAGTTAAACGAATAATCGATAGAGCCGCTAATACGACGACATGGAGCATTAATGGCATGAAAAGAGATAAGACTTTTATTGAACATATCAATTTGCTAGGGTGCGCTAGCTTGGCTGGTGTGAGAATAATGGCTACGTACAATGCGGTAGATATAGTTATTATACACAATTTTATAGTGCAAAAATAGCACGAGCAAGTTAGAAAGAATAGTTATATATCAAATGAGAAGGATAAGATACGATAAGTAGGGCTTGGAATGAACAAGTTCCAGAAACGGCAACTGTTCATCAAATATGTGGAAGTGGGAAGACGAAGATGGCGAAGTTGAAGATAATGCACTATACATTAGGCAATGTAAAAGGGTAGTTTCACGATTAGAATGTGAAGAGTAAGAGGGACATCCAGAAAAGCGGTATGAACAGATTTGATTTAATCGGCTTTGTAGAATTCGATAGCTCGGTGCTATACTGCTATATGAAAGACAATTACAGTATTAAGCTGCCACATTAAATGGGAGGAGCTTCGACAGCTTAAAGACGAGCGAGAATTGGGAATGGCAAGAGAAGATGAAGACGTTTGTGACCAACAGAAAGACGATTCTGCTCGCTGATCAGCAATGTGTTGTAAGGGTCAGGGTCAAACACCAATAATCTCGTGTTGCTTATATACCGTGACGAGTCGGAACACAAAGATTTAACTCGGGCTTCTCGTGGAAACAGGAAAAACCTCTTGTCTCATCAGAGTCGCGTGATTGGGACGGTGACGATTCGGAGGCGAGTATGTAAAAAGTGGGGAAATTATTGTTCGCCAGCGGGTAGACGATGAATAATGGGCATGCAGAAGGAGGAAAATGGGGAAGAAATGAAATTATGAAAATGCAAGCAGAGAAGAAGAGGGAGAACGGGGTTAAGGAGAAAGAGAATTGACCGAATGGGGTTATAGAAGACGAGCCTTTGGACTGTGGTATTGAGGATTGACGGAACATTGAGGTTAGTTCGAATTGGTATCCGCGATGCCTTGGCATCCATCCATTCGTACGAATATTCTATGATCTAAATGCAACGTTTTTAATCATTATTAGATCATTACCAATTACTGGGGGCTTTCTACTTTCCAAACTTTGAGTAGTTTGCCACAAGTTCTATCAGTCGCAGAATGTCAAAGCATTGGTGGCAATCAACAGAAATAATTGAAACAATTGTGACATCTTTCGGGGGAAAAAAAGACATCCTCACATTTAACGGTATGTGTTGTCTGCATTGTTATTTAATCAATCCACTCCGTCGTTGTTACAAATCGTCTTACGGAAGTTTTACCATATTATAGTCTCCAAGCGCCTAAGCGACCTTCTAATCTGATCAGCTTTCCGTTCCTGGACCTCCACTGACGGCTTTTCCGTCAACTACTTTCTCTCCATATCGAGGAGACGCGCCTGGCCTTCGTATCCACCGCGACAAGATCCCCACGCCAACGCTGAATATCATCTATGTGTATACGTTCTACAACAAACAGCTTTCCGCAAAAAATACTAGTTGGTGTGGACAACACCGTACAAAAAATGTGCTGGGAACAGTCCGATCTTTCTGGAGACTCGTCATTGCGAATTTTTTTCCATTCCGTGAAGATGTGGTACATAAAATTGTTGCCGTTACTCCATTGATACTAAAGGATCGGCAACTAATAAAGATAAACAGGATTTGTTACAGAGATTCACAACAAATGAAATTCTTGTCCGACTCAGCTTCGAGGGCTGTAAAAAAAACCTGTTCTACGAACTGCCAAGACTTAGGTTTGAGTAACGGATAACGTGAAAAGAAAAAATGACAAATGAATGGAATGACAAAACGCCACAGAAACTAAAATGGTCAGTAGAATGGACGGGATTCTTGTTAGAAACGGCTTTGTTAACCTATTTTAAGATGACTAATAACTGAAAGTGAACAAACAAACTTTCGTGTTTCGGAGAAAGTGCCGAATAAATGCATAAAAGTACTATACTCAAACAAGACTGTTGTTTCAATGAACCTTTGTTTAATTCTATTTTTAGATAAACGAACGCATTTGCTCGCTAATAAGGGATAATTGAAAATGGCATGTTCTACGATCGATAAATAGAACAAGACTATGTAAATTTGAAGACGTGACTCCTTTTAGACAGGCTATTGAATATTAATATCTGCAGTGAAAATCGAGACAGCCCATTGATGGGAATTTGGATAGGTCGAGCCAAAAATTTTCTGTAATAAATTGAGTGCCACGTAAATTTATGTATTTTGTCTAGACTATGACAATATCATCGTACTGTCCTACTTCGGTAGGATCCATCTTTCCATCATGAAATTAATTTAACGGGAACTCACCTTCAAAGCAGCAACGCTATTCGTGTAATAAACTAAATGCTTACCATGCGGCTGAAGCACCAATCGAATATCAGGTCTCGCTTTTAACGACTCATCTATCATTTTCCGATTTTCTACCCCCGAGGATCCTCGTTCGATCTCCACAGAAATTCGTAAATCTTAACTCTTACTACCAACTACCAACTACGTGATATCGGTATGTTATAAACCAGTGTAAATAAATTATATATGTTTTCTGTATGCTTACCACTTGTCTTTCTGCGTATACATAGCTTTCCCACGGTGATATCATACGACGCCACCATGAAATTTTCTCGGAGAAGTTATTTTTTTTTTTTTAATTTTTATCTTCATTTTAATTTTTAGTTTTCATTCATTCATTGAGTTAATCAACATTGTCCAGTTGATTATCAGAGAAAGTAAAGGAGTAAATAAACGACTATCACCACCTATTACACGTACTATGTTGTCAATGTATTAATTTATGCTTTACATGAGAGGACTTGAGAAACTGTACAAAGATCACTATCGTGTTTTAATAACCAATAACTTAGCAGACGTATATTATTATAATTAGATGCAACGCTTTACTAGTTTCGATTGAAGGAGACGCAAAACGGGTCAAAAAACTTGTTTAAAAATTTTTTAATACTTTATTTATACAAATGCATTTAAATCATAATTGAGTTTGCTTATACGAATATAGCGTATTACATACTTTGGTTGCATCGTTTACAGTCACGGATTAGCCGGCAAAGCCAAAGTATTATCATTAATATATGAGTTATCGATTATTACAATTTGACGGTTTAAATCCGGAATGATACAATTTAGGTTATTCTGTACATGGTCTATATTTTGTATGCACAGAGTTAATAATAATAATAAGTTATGGGCTCGGACGGTAGGACGTTGTTCCAATCTAGGTAACTGGATGATAATATGTGTGTTTGGTCAACCAATCAAATAACAATATTTATTTTGGCGGCGGAAGCGCAATAAAACTAATTACAAACGATTTTGTGAGCTGTTATTTTATTTATATACTTGTAGTTAGATTTGCGATAACTATCTCGTAAATTTTTTGTCAGGCGCCTTTATTAAAAGGTATTTATGCAGCTTAGTTGTTGCGTAATTAGTTAAAAAATCATGCGTGTAAGACTATTTTGGTTCACCATTAAGAAACCTTATCTTTGTAACTTTATCGTTTATTCTAAGAAAACTTTTGCTTGGATAAGGTTTGGACAATTCACACAATCCAGAAAATATAAATAATTGGCACTATAAGAATCAATACTAATTAATTAATTTATAACTGATTGACTTATGTCGCATATCTTGCAGCATGTATTTGATATTAATTCACACATTCAAAGAGAAGCTATCGTTTAACATGCATATTAAATACCGTTTATCAGACAATGGTAATTTTATTATAGGGCGGGTTAACTGTAAATAATTGCCCCTTTAATAATAGAAGCCACACTGTTAAATATGTAGTTATACTCAAGTTACAAGTAAATAGAAATTGAAAGTAAGGCTTTTCATAGACGTTTTTTGGCGGTAGCACATCTTTTCATTTGATCTAATCATGCAAACCGTGAAACGTATATTGATCCGTGTCAATTATGGCCCATATACAAACTATTGACGTTGTTAATTCTATACAGTGAGATGTTCGGATATTTGTAGCAATTTGTAAGCAACTTTTATTATCAGACCTTGGTTTTGTATATCTGATAATAACACACGTAATTTGCAAACGAACCAAAAGTATTGGTTGTTTCATTGAAGAATGGATCCGTCCATTGTACGCTTGTAACCCGCTGTCGGCTCAGCAAAGAGTTAACACGCCCCCTGAAATTCCGTCGATCATGCATCAGCCGACATCCTCTATTTGTTACACATAATGACCCCATAAACGTTAAAGTAGCCAGTAAATTTTATACATGTTAAGTATTCAACTATCGTACTCTAGTGCGAGTATAGTGAGAAAAACTCACAAAGGTCAAAAAGTTGGAAAACATAAAAAAAAAAACCAACTTGTTGCAAAACCTCTGCCATCAGATAATAAATACTAAAAATTTACATTAGCTGACTGGAACTATACTAGATTCTAGACCCTGGTATGAGGATGCAATAATCAAGCCAAGCCTCAGGCAATAATTCGGCAGTTGTTTCACTAATTAGCCTTCGCATGGAGATGTGTTCACACACCAAATAAAATCAGGGATGCGCGATGTTTCGAATTTCGTCGGCACCAACTTTATGTTAAATACGCAACTATTACTATGTTCTATTGCAAAATTGGGCATTGATATTTTATCTATTTGAATAATAGTTGTATAAAATGTATCACTGTAAGATAAATGATTTGTTTAACGATTATCTCCTCCCTTCCAAAAATCTTTCTAACAACCAAAGAAAAGTACGCCACTTTACCATAAATATGGAAAATAAAATATTATTAAATAAATAGTAATTTACACGCTTGACAATGATTGGCTCTCTTAGAGTGAAGAGTGGTATGGACCTATTAATAAAAATTTTTTGGTCGAAGAACAATACGGTATGCTATTTTAACAATTGCTCGCATGTTATTATCTGGCATAAATGTGTCCATTGAAAACTTTTATTGACGGTGGAAAACCAATCGGATCCGATTGTATAAATTTCTACGTTGTTTCCCAAACGTTTTCGTGTAAATGTATGGTCGTCACACTTGCGTTATAATTATTTCTTATGACGAAGTTTTTTCTATGCACAGATTTAACGATACAATTTTCAACAGCATGCTTAAGAAATGGTCGCTAATATACACGTAATGCCACTTGTATTGTTTTTTTATTATTAACATTTTCTGTTGTTAAGGTGTATATTTTTGTTATGTGTGAGGCTCATACCATTTACTACACTAAAAAGAAGATTAATTTAAAATATTATACACTAAATGTTTGGTACGCTACCGCTGTAAATAACAGCATATTTCGACAACTGTATCACCCCACCACGTATAAAATAAACGCCATGCAACGACAAATCACAAAGGAAAAATACTCTTTCCTTAATACGAAGTAACATCCAATCTTTCCAAAAAATTCACTTATCTACTATTACCCAAGCTTATACAAACGGCATGCCTAGTTTAAGAAGTAAGACGTCACGAAGTCGCCGAATATGGCACATAGGCCAAATTGCTGCTAGAAGACAAATTCCTGGCTGCCTGCAACAGTCGCGAATTCCCCGGCTGCGACTTCAACGGTCGAAAATTTCTTGGCTGCGACTTCAACAGTCGCGAATTCACCGGCTGCTCGTTGCTTATACTGTCCCACGGGGCAATGCCGCCACCGACCATATACAAATTATGAGTACACCACGCCAATGGGACAAAAAATTATTTTCTTGGCTGCGACTCCAACAGTTGCGAATTCCCCGGCTACTCGTTGCTTACTATTATACTATCCCACGGGGCAATGCCGCCGAACCGGCCAAATACAAATTATGACTACACCACACCAATGGCCGGTTTTGGCGATAAAAAATTTTTCTTGGCTGCGACTCCAACAGTTGCGAATTTCCCGGCTGCTCATTGATGCCGCAGAGCCGAAATTATGGCCGGTTTTGGCGACAACTCAGCTTTTTTATCATTATCCTGACCCAGAATCTACTGTTACGGCAAGCCGATCGATGACTCAGATAAGCGAGCCACATGATAAAATCTTCCTTGCGCTATTTTCAGTGTCAGTGTCAGGCGTAGAAAACGTGCTCATTTTCAGTGTCAGCATAAACGCCATTAGCTAACTTAGAATTTGATTAGTTCTTCATAAATTTACGATTATTTAGTATTTTAAAATTTTGTTTCGATTTTTCCGTGTTGCTAAAGGTATATAAGCGACCTTTAACCCATCGTCAGAAAACTCATGTTGTTTCATGTTGTTTAATGTTGTCTAATAATAATAATAATAATAATAATAATAATAATAATAATAATAATGCCTACTGTAATACGCGAAATAATAATCAAATAAACGATCTTTGAAATCGAAATCATTACTTTCTTTTATCGTTGAAATATTAATTATTTGACCGGACACACTAATAAACGGCTCGACCAAGCTGTATAAGCTGTCCGCTGATCAACTACTCCAGATTGGAGAAACGAGAGCTCGTAATTAATTATTAAAAACGAATATTGTTTAATTCGTTTATCCGACTAGTCGAAACACCAAATCGAAGAAGCTCTGTTAATTTGTAAATAAATTTATTCCCCTTCGATTCTGCGATAGAATAATTGTTGTTGCTATTCTAGTTGTAGGCACCCTTATTTGGATTACGAGTGACTGAAGCTCGTATAGGGGAGCATTTTAATAATTAAATTAGGTCACTTGTAGGTTAGTATTCAGTCTTAGTGAACAACTATCGTAATAAGGGTGGTAGCGCGAAGCTAAACCTGATAACATCCCCGGTTTGAAGAACACCTACACGAAAGATAATTGCTCTTCAAAAACCCAGACCACCGGCCGTAACATTACGATCCTTGTTCTAGGTGCAGACGCTCATTAATACTCCGTTTAAGAAGTTATTTTACGATATTTACAATGTTGAGTCTTCTACGACTTACATCGGCCAAGACGGGCAATTATACGAACATTTGTTACAAGACGTCTATATCACAGAGGCTACGGACCAAATAACATTTTGTTTAGACTGTACTACGGAGTCTCTGAATGATTATTCTCAAGTAAAAAAGGGGAAGATAAAGACAGAGATGGAGGATATGGATTTTCTTCAACACTGTATGTAATCCGCCCTCGCACTTCTCCAAACCAGCGTAATAAACCGCATTTTTTTGAGGAGATTATCATTCCCAGAGAATTAGTTTCAAATGCGGCGTATCGAGTCAACAATCGCTGAGCTTTTTCAAAAAACTCTTTTCAGAAACCTATACATGGATGATACCGATAGATGGTGAGAATAGTTGGAATAAAAATGGTTTACGTCACTACTCATAAAGCAAAGTCTTTTTCTTAATCCTCGCGGGTATCCTTCATATACAACGCATACTCAACACTCGCACTTATCTTAACAAGCCTTCCAACTTCAATACCATCAACAGCAGTCTCAAAGGAAAAAACGCTACGAACAAAAGCTATTGCAAATCTCTCTTTCATATAACATGCAAACAGAATCACAGCTTCATAAATAAAGAACAATAAAATAAAAATCCATGATATAATGAAGTCATCACACCTCTGTCATTATCATCAACAACCTCAGCATTGTAAATTTAATAATAGTATTTAAATAGTGATTTATGATTAATATTAACATTACCAATTTATCAGTTTTGGGAGTTGAAGCACATTTTTGGTTTGAAAATTCACATCACTTTTCTCTCAATTGCAATTCCGACCAAACTAATAATTTTTTCGACCAAGCAACTTGACGTTTCTAGAAAAATAAATTTTTGGTGGCCTAAATTTTTTATTTGCTTGTTAAAAATAACCGTTTCTTTATTCTTTATGTTTAGAAAGAAAAATATTGATCAATATATTTTCGCTGTTATTTGTTGAATCCCAAATAAATAATAAATAATGAATAACCACTTTTATTAATTGTGCCTCTAGTATATTTATATTTATCAGATAAAATTTGGGCAATGCTATATTGAGAGATCAAAAACTGTAATCCATAGAAGCGTATTGGATAAATAAAATAATTAACTTAATTGTGCGGTTGTCAACGCCCAAAAAGATGTAATTGCGAGTTATGCAATTTTAACAAGCAACCGAATCTAATTATTGTACGCACAGTATACGTGTAGTTGCGGCGAGTATAGTAGAATTAAAATTTTGGAAGGTTGATTTTTTGTAGTGTTACGTATATTTAGAATAACTCATCGATCTGTATCTCGAATATGACGTGTGGATAATGGCAGCCTCCAGCAGTTGGACAAACAATATTGTCGTTAAGCTTGGGATAGACACTTTATATAATTTTGCCAAGCCCGTTTTGGTCATAGCAGCAGGAAAAATATTAATATACTCCCAACAATGAACTAGTGGATATTTGCCATGAAATAGATAAATCCCTCTCCATAGAATATGAAACGAACTAGACAAAAAGTTTTAAGCTTAATATTAATATTATTATTTATTTTTTGAGCCGACAATTTTTTCCTTCGGCAAAATCATCAATGCTCAATAAACGCTAACCTCATTAAGCAATGATATTCACACTCCAAACATAGATGTTCGCTGTGACGATTTGTAAAGAATTCGTTTGCGATAAATTCGCTAAATACATTGGAGTAGATGTCAACGATATTCATGTCGACGATATACTAATCATTGGATTCGGCGGAAGCGGTGGTGGATTTCGAGCTATGATAGCTACAACAGGTAAACATTTTTTGTTAAATGTCAAGTCCATGACAATAGTATTACAAACGCGCTTTTTTACACACAGGCTATGTTTACGGTTTGAAAAAATTGGATTGTATGATTATGGAACATACTTTGGAGGTATGTGACTATGGCGTATGAGTATGTAATTATCCATAGTGCTATTATTTATCCTTGTATACATATTTGTTATATTGGTTCTTGCGAAGGTGTCGTTGGAATCTAGCCGCACAGTACACTTCCATTATTTCGGAACAAGACAATCCACTTGAAGTAAGTTGTGATAAAAAACTTGGTTAGGTAATTGAGAATGTAAACCGATTGACGTGTGTTATTGCCTGTTATCTCGGGCACTGATCGATCATTTTAAGAAGCGACTCGACCATCACATTGCCAATCCACATGCGGTTATCAAATCGTTTACGGCTATCACATCGCCCGAACAGGCCGTTGAATTGGTCTTGGTTCAGACGGGGTTGGGCACGGTATTATTGATGTCTACGGCGCGACGCGTTGTTGGCCGCCCAGACTTTTGCTTGGCGATGATCCAGTAAATCAGACTAATTGAGTGAGCCGAAGCGATATCTAAAAGATGGAAAGAACCCATGCCAATATATACGGAAACGATTAAAAAGCATATTCACTTAAACAATCGACTATATACGTATGCTCAATAATTATCTCTTTCAGCCAACAAAGTTTACATCATTCTCGGCCTTGGAAGGATTTCCTCCAACCGGAAGAAGCAGCTCAAGTTCCAAACTATGAAGGTATTGAAAGAGCACCGAAAATTAAAGGATCATTATAGAAGGTTTGAATTTACTCCATTCGAGATTGGATGTGATGAGTTCCCCGGTTAGTATAAAATTAGTAGGCTCTTTCTAATATCAGTACTACGGTTTTAACATGTCAACTTGGGCATTTGGAAGGCGCTTTGAGTTTAGGAAGAGCATCGATCGCGTACCCGAGCAAAACTTTGGATCAGAGATGGGGTAACGTCTAGTCAAATCATTGAACAGGGCATCTTTACTGCTCGACGTGGAATCAACAATACCAGGCGAGATGATCTTAGTAGCAAGTATTTGGAAGTCTATGATTGTGAGCCAAATGGAAACGCACAAGATGGATATACTCCACTAATGACGCATCCGGCTACTGTTCCTAGCAGCTACGTCTTGCATTAACTAGCGAAGTTAGGCAGGTTTTGAGCGACGAATCTTTATGCGAGATGATGGAGACTGGTTTGAGCATGTGTTGTCAAATGCGCCTTAGTGGTAATGCTTTGCTTGATCAAATAGTTCTGTATATAAATCGATTGCAAATTTCGCTCATTTCAATACCATTTTCAGAAATGCTTGGACGTTCAGCGGAGCATACAATGGTTGTTATTATTCAAACAATGTTCCAGAGGTATGTTTGGAAACACAAACCAGGCTTAAACATTTGAGTGAAGATTCGGGAACTTCACCTGATAATGAAGACGAAGGGAATAGCAATACGCCATCTTTCGATTCTCAAGTACGAATGGCGCCGCCTGACCCTAAATCGCCTCATCTTCCTCTTCCTCCAATGAGAGTGAGATACCAAATCTTATGGGTAATCTTAATAAATTGTCTGTATCGGCGACGGAGAGATAATGAACATTTGCAGATTCAAGAGAATACTGAAGAGATTGAACACGTAAGCGCACTGAACGACGTCGGTGATCAAACTGATCGTTTCTTTGTTACTAAGATGTTCACTCGAGTTACTTATCAATCAATTCGTATAATAGCTGCCCTTCTCGATCTAACCGATGAGGAAGAAGATAATGGTAAACAATAATATGGTTACATGCTCACGTAGGCTTTCATATATACGAATATACTAAAGATGGACTCCATTTAACAGAACCTCAACCATTTGGTTACCATCGATAAGAGAGTTCTAAGATCTCTATTGAATCCGCATGACCATCAGCATACAGATGCAATGCGTCTTATGGCCTTGAGTATTCTCAATGTTGCTTTTGAAGCTGGTGGTCGAACAATGGGTCTATTCGAAAGTCTGAGAAACCTCGTCGTCGACGATCTGTGCAAATCCTTATTTCAGGCGATTTGATAGAACTTGTTAATAATGCTGGCTCGCAGAGAGAATATTACTTTACTTACTCTCACTCTCCGCACAATATCAACTGTATTTGGTACACTTCGACCACCATATTTGAAGCTTCAACAAGAACTCAATCTATCCGTTTTAATCGAAAATTAACTCCCGCCGGCGCATTACCTAGTGCTGCCTTTAGTCCGGACTAGCTTGATAGTAACGATGCATCAGGGACCTCAATGCCACTCAGTACACTACGTGATAAATCTATTCGTGGAAGTAGTGACGCTACAGTTGCTACCGGAGAAGTGCACGAGCTACTCCTCGAATCGTTGGGATAGCTTGCCAGGGAGCCGACTTTCATGGTTGACCTTTGGGTTAACTATACTGTAATGTTGATTGTAGTAATCTATTCGAAGACGTTGTCGCGTTTTTAAGCAAAGTACGTTCTGTAACTGATTTAGTGGGTAAGAGGGAGTGAAGGAAAGCAAACAAAGAAGAAGGCATCCAGGAAAATATTATGAGGTCTCTTGGATTTGGAAGTGGGAAAACCGTTTTTGATAGACAATCACATAATTGACTGCTCATCATATCTTTTTCATGTTGAATAGAATTCATTCCCGAATCCAACTCCATTCTGCAAGCAATTTACATCTATTATGTTTAGATGCTCTCTTAATGTATGGTTGATCGACTACAAATGGAGGTATGTTAGTGCACACAGAATGTTATCTATTTTATGTTCTACTTTAGAAAATCACACCTCAAACTCAGGATTCTCATGGAAAGAACTATCTGTATCTGATTACAGTCTTGGACTGCGGCCATTGGTACTTGTGGTCTTTTTAATTGGACTTGTGTGAGCCTCATGCTGTGCTAATTAGGAGGTTTGTCTTATTGGAAAGGAGAAAATGGAAGCAAATATTGTTGGAGGGAGCAGCGAAATTTAACGAACCCCCAAAGCAGGTCTCGAGTTCTTGGAAGGTTACTAATTTTAATTTGTCTTTTGTTACAATATTATAACTCTTACACATCGACTTTGCCCCAATAACGAATGGTGTCATTTACGACGACCCGTCTGTCAATAAGGAAACAAGTCTCGCTGGTTTCTCGAAATCTACGCCGTGATTAAACACGACAGTATTAGGAGGGTCATTATCCACATAACACCTTGGCTGGTATAGTGCATCAGATGTTGGATGGTGCAATTAGATATGAGAAAAATATTGGTTTCAGTAATTCGAATGGGGAAGAGTTTCGTCGAACATGTACAATTTGGTGGCGCGCGTACCAGGTCAGAAGGATGACTACGTATCAAATGATTACTTTGATAAGTTAGAGTTGGAGGGAGTAGTGAATATGATAATGTACTATGCATTACGAAACGTTAGGATGTGGGTTAGAAACCAGAAAAACAATCAGAATCGTCGGTCCGGCATAATCTGTACCGGCTATTAGGATTGTAGGAAAATATGGCACGAGAATTTTGTGGGTTAGAGTTGAGACAAAGAGAACACCTAGCATAAAACCAAGCGCGACAGCAATACTGGGCATTGCTTGCTCAGAGAGGTACAAGTGGATGGGTCTCGATATAACGACACGCTCGGTTCCAACCCAAATGGTCACTATATCGAGAATTAACTTATATACGACAACAAGCAATATAGATTTTGGTTCTACGATTTCTGTCGTTATAACAAGATGTCATTATATCGAGATTCACTTGTATTAGGACAGTCTCCTACAAGGACTGGAAGCTAGAAAAAGCGAGCTTGGGCAACAAAAGGGCAAACTGCGAGAACAATTAACTAAAATTGAGGAAGTCCTAAAATATTGGACGAATGATCACTGGGCAAAGCCTTTAATAAAAGTATTCGTGAATATTTTTTCGTATCGAGTAATTCTAAACATTTTTTACTAGCACATAAAGAAACCAATAAGCAACTAGACATTGCTCTCGTTAATTATCGTGTAATTGGATACATCTTCCCCCTCTTGAGTTTGCCCCTTTTCGGATCAATTGTTCCCTCACGAAATGCCAACGTATTTAAGTATAAGCATGGTATTACGTTTGGAGGAACTAGCGACAGAATGTCAAAATTCGGCTCATCGCGACGCACAAAAACACTGGCTGGATCTATCCTTCTTCGACCATTAGACGATTTCTTCTCGTTTTTAGATATGGCAATTACATCATACTTTTTCTGTCTCATCTTGTCTTTACCCCCGCCATCACTATCCTCGTCGTTACTATGCTTGTAATCACTATCCTCGTCGTTACTATCCTCGTCATCACTATCCTCGCTGTCTTGCTCTTTCTCAGACTTCTTTTCTTTTTCCTTTCTATATTTCTCCTTATTCTTTCCCTTTCGTCTATCTCTATATCTATTTCTACCACTTTCTTTCTCCCTCCCCTTTTCCTTTCCCCTTCCCTCCTCCCTTTCTCTTTCTCTGGCTCTTTCTCTGGCTCTCTCTCTTAGCCTCTTCCTTACTTTCTCTCTTAACCTCTTCTTTAGTTTCTCCCTTAACCTCTCCTTTAGTTTCTCCCTTTCCATTGCCCTCGCCTTCTCTTTTTGTTCGCTTATGCGGCTGCTCGTCCGTTTAGAAATTTCCTGCCGTTGTGCTAGGGCTTGTTTGATATTAACGCCCTCATTTTGGTTTGGGCTTTTTGCCATTTTAAGTCTAGGTGAAGTTCTGCGGCTCGCACTCAAAGTACTTGTGCCTTCGTTGCTCGCTTGCAGTTCATGATCAGACTCGCAACTCGTTATCTCTACGAAAATATCAAATGGATGGTTTAATTTTAGAACGACGCAATATAAACTGTTCATTAAAGGTCTTACTTTGTCTTTTATTGGCCATTTGATCCGAAATTATTTGTATAGAACCGTCGAGGCAATTTGAGCAAACCGTTTGTGTAAGCGTACGGTGTAGTCGGTCGGGTAAAGGACAGAAGGAGGTGCGCGCGTAATAGATCTTCAAAATAGGTCGATTACCGAATTTGTATAAAAGTCGACGATCTTTAATGAAGATCTACGAACGTCCTTAAACATTGGTATGTATTAGGGCTGCCCTTGATTCGTCTGCTTTTGTAATGACAATGACTTACTAAACGCGGATTTCAACACTCAACCTGAAAATAGATAGTAATAGCATTCACATGCAATACAGGTTATCTGCTTACATATATCTATCAGCTTTTAGAGGGTTTAGAGAAAAACTAATCCGTAAGAATGATAGAGCAGACGAAGCAGGATAAAAGTTACAGTTTAAAATTTTTAATCAACTAAAAAAGTTTCGAGTTTTAGGCATTTGAAAAGCGACAGTTTTCGGACGTTGTCAACTTTTTGCGTGACATTCTATTAGATATAAATCGCACAGAAAAATCCCCGAAAATGCAACAAATTAGTTCGATCAATTTTCTTAAATGAATTATACACTCCCCGGACCCCTAAATAAATAGTAATAGTAATAGTTGCGATTTATATATTATTTGAAGCTCTAGTTCTCAAGATAAAGAATGTTTGTCATTAGCATCATGTTTACATTTTTATTATGGTAAAATTAAAAACAAATTTGTCATTAAATTTATAAAATTGATGACCAATTTCAGCAGATAAATTTTTATTTTTTACTATTTTAATATCATTATTGTCAATACATTCTTCTATCTTTTGAGGCATACTATCAACCAGCTTCAGATATTTTTCATGTGGAATCCGTTCCCATCCTTGTTTTAAAAAATTTTCCAATTCTTTGGATGTTCAAGACGATTTTTTAATCTTCGACCAAGTTCATCCTACAGGTGCTCGATAGGGTTAAGGTCTGGTGACTGAGAAGGCCAATCTTCAAGAAGAATAATCTTTTTCTCAGACAGTTATTTTTTTTTTACAATCTTTGTAGTGTGCAACAAATTATTTTCCAGAATATTAATATAGTCTCTATGATTCATCTTTCCTTCTATCCTAACTAATGGTCCTAATACTAATACTAACCCTAACCCAAACCGTGATTCCACCCCCACCAAATTTATCTGCTGGAATCATCTTTCAATTTTATAAATTTAACGACAAATTTGTTTTTAATTTACCATAATGAAAATATAAATATGATGCTAATGACAAACATTCTTGAGAACTAGAGCTTTCAAATAATATATAAATCGTAACTATTACTATTTATCTAGTACAATTTTGATTGTCCGGGGAGTGTATGTGCTGTTCAATCTGCAACATTGACCCGGAATTTGAAGTGTCGTCGACAAAGTAAAGCTGATTCAACTTGACCATCAGCATGAAAACTCCTTTCTTCAAAATGTACTATGCGAGTTACAATGATTTTGATGGAAGGGTATCTACAGTCAGTCAACTGCCGATAATTCGATTACGTTTGTTAATTCGACCACAGTCAAATTAAGGGTTAATTGATTGATTTATAATTCAATCAGAGCAATGGATAAATATCGATATAAATAAACACGATTAAGAAAATGGCAAAGCGCTTCATTATCTAAGTTACGAAGTAGAGATAGTCAAAGGTATCTATTGAAAAGGCTAAATCTCAAGGCCAATGTACGATTGGACAACCTACCAAACATGTCAATATTTTGCGCAATCAACTCACGTAGTACGCATGGAACAATAGAATTTCGAAAAAGACGTTGTGCGCGTAGAGACAACGAAAAATTCGTTAACCATCACATATACGTTGCTTTTTATTGGCGCAGCTATAAACGTGTTAAGTTAAACATCTAAATTTTCTGCTACCAAAAAATTATTTCCACTTTGTATTTTATCGACCAAGCACCGTACGAAACGAATTCTTCAACAACGCGTGGAATTGAATTGCGCCTATGCATAATTGGCCGAATTTCTATTTTGGGGATACGAGAGTTCTTGTCGTTAGGCTGGAATTGTTATCTTTAAAGGTAAATAAATAGAGAAAATAAATTGAAAGACAAACAAAATAAAATACAAATGCAAGTTTCCGGAATATAAATATAAATCGAAACATTCATCACACACAGGCATAATCTATGCATTACGTAAAATTTAGACATTAATATTATTAGCGAAAATTTAATGTAAAGAATGAGTAGACTGCTCTAATCCAGCAAGACTCTTAAACAACGCAAATATTTTCCTATAACTTAGTCTATTAAAACCTTTCTTACTAGAAATGTGTCTTTTTGACACTATCATTTGGCTTTACATTTACCAAGTTAACATACACGGTAATGGCAGATGCCTTATATGGGAAATACAATAGTTTCGAAATTTTATTAGCAGTTATTTAATACAATATGTCTTACTGGTAAAATTTTACATCGTATTTATACTTTGGGCATTTCAGCTGTCTATCGCCATGACATGGGAGTTCAATCGATAAATATCGAAATTAGAATAGTGTTTATTGTTATACAAATGTTATTATACTCTAATGCTTTGCGATGCATAAGATTGCCCTTTAACCTCAAGTCATTTGCACGAGTTGGCGCGTTGTATATTTTTGTACTTTCATTTGGCTATACGCCAAAGATCTCAATAAAACATTCGCCATCAAGCCTAACGATGCAAATTGCACTGAGAAGTCTCTCCATCTCGAGCAATATGGCGATGCCCTAAAAGCTAGTCATCCACCACAGCAAGACAAGGCCTTTTAAATCGATGCGCGGACGAAGACTTAACGTGTCAAGAATGGCGTTCAACAATAATTAAAGTCAATGATAGCCAACGACGACAAACGCGATTCTATCCCATTCCTACATCACTTTTACCATTTTATGAGTGTCAAGATGAATACAACTACAATAAGATAATACTCAATTTAACACAACAAATAACAATTAATTTACTTGAGAAAATCTCGTGTCTTCCGCATATTCAGATTTTATCGTTCCTGCACGTGGAATCCGTTTAAAATAATATAGGGCATGAACGGTAGATGACTACGCAAATTACTATTCCTAGCTCACGCGAGGCATCCCCAATCGTATCAGATATGTTCCATTGGAGATGAAGAGATTAGAGCCAATGAATTAATTAAGGTTGGGTGTATGTCGGATGTTCGATATCAAGATGACGTACGACGGGGAGAGAAGAATACCCGGTAATCCTCTAGCCAATACAAATGTTGTCTTATTATTTCTTGTAAAACGCGTGAATCTGCCACACATTTATCTGCTATCATACGATTGAGTGTCCACGAACTGTGCGCTCTTTGATTGCTTCTTGGATAGTCGGAAATGGTTCAAGTTCTGTAATGGAATAATAGATAATCGGAATCTCTCTGCCCCTGTCAACGACTGTCCGTTGCAAAAGCATCCAATGACGGCATCATATGCGACTAAGCCGTGATAAATCACCCAGTCATAATCATCTGTCTCCCACCATACAGTGCGCGTCAGCACATTGTCTATATTTTTATCTCTCTCTGTATGTTTTCCTTATTTTCAAACCACACCCCGTCTCAGCCCTAGCGGGCTGGGTGGTTACTATTCAATGTCATACTAAGGAAATAGAAAAGTGCACGGTGCAGCATTTTGTGCTATTTCGAGATATTCTTGGTTTTCACGTGTTTCTGTTAGCTATCCTTCTTTTGAGACACTTGGTTGCCTTTTCTTCGCCTTTTTCTACTCCAGTTCCTGATAACATCAAGCCGACTTGTGAAACAAGCATTTCCTTCTAGCTGCTTTTGATACAGCTCAACAGCTCTCTGCTCATCTTTTTTTCCACACCCCTACCACAAAAAACTGAGATTACATTATCCATATTCATGTCTTCTTCAACTGTCTTTTATACATTCAGTTGTCTTCTGTTCATGTTTTCTACTCTAATCGAGCCTCATCTCCATAGCCATCACCTCTTCATATTCTTATTCTCATCTTCATCATGCGGCCGCATTAGAGTCAACTGCATGTGACGGCAGCAGAGTTGCGGCAATCGTGCCGTCGATAATTGAAAGAACATTTTAACCAAATAGTTATGATAACCGTTAATATATGTTGGATCACCTCACAATGCTGCTAAACCATTCGATCTTCTGATTACTACATGTTTCGAAACAGAGGCATAGTCAGCATCTGATGTCCCCATTTCCGCTTTCATACTCGGAATCCATAGGTTTAATAAACCCCCAATTCACATTCCTGATGCGTTTGAATTCATCATCAAACTTACTTTACGTATTCTGTTGGTCGCGTGCGTGCGCATGAGCAATTTGTTCGAAATATATTCACCACAGCGTCAAGGATTAGCAACGGTTTCTATTACCGATTCGCCTCTTGCAACATTCCCATAATTCTCAGTAGCTAATAGAATAAATAGAGCAAATAGATAAACCATTAGCAAAGCTCTGAGCATGTAACTGGTTCTCTTCATTGATACTTACGACCTCCACGTGTATTGTCATAAGATCCAGCAATTATGCCTCAGTTGTGTCAAAACGGAAGGTGTTCGAGTATCTCGCGGCAAGTCTGAGTAGGCCGATTTGAAAGCATTAGGCATGTTACGAAAGAATGGAATGCCAAAGAATTCTGAGATATTCAGAGGTTACACGAAAACGCGGTTCAAGCAACGCCGAAAAATTAATGGCCCTTTTATAATCGATATACTCTTTACTTATTCTTAGTTGTTGTTCAATAATAATTATACATTCTTGTCCTGAACGGAAGTGTCTATGCTTAGTATTACGGAAGTTGAAGTAACATCCAGCTGCGGGTTAAGCGAATGAATATGTAAAGTAATGAACTTGTTACCAACGAAAGAACAGCTTACCTTGAAGATCCCATCTATTAACGCAGGATTTAAAGCGTAATTAACAGTTTAATATTTCATTCATTTAATTAAATAATTTAGCGCAAT